CCTTGGGAGTGCCAGAACAACCATCACTGCCCTTGTGCCAGTGCAGTTCTCCATGGGATGGCTCCAGTGAGCTGCTGGGTGAACCTTCTGCAGTGCTGGTGCCTTGATGCCTGCCACCATCCCTTGCCCATATCTAGCCCTGCATCCCATAGGGGTAGGGATGGTACCCTCCACGGTGGGAGGACATACTGGGACAGAAGCAGCCACCTGAGTCTCATGGAAACAGAGAGGAAAAGGGCAGTGCCTAACACTGCTCCCAGCCCCGTGGGGTGCCAGGCTTTTACAGGGACACCTAACTCACTGCAGACCCTTTCTTCCACAGCCTGTGACCCTGCAGCTCCACCAAGCAGCAAGCATCCTGCCCACACCCGCATCATCTACCGGCCCTGGTTCTCACCCTACAGCTACTTCATGTGCACCAAAGGAGATGCTCAGCAGCACCAGGACACCCCCTTCTCCAGCCTGGCCACTGGCACCCAGGAACATGAGGAGCCTGATGACCTCTCAGAAATAGTCTGCTCCTCCTCTGACTCCTCAGATGAGACCCAGCTACCCCAGAGACCCAGGCTGCCTAGCAGCAGAGCCAGCATCACAGTCCAGGACATCCTTGCTGCTTCCCAGCAGCACCCAGTGTCCCAGAATGGCTACCAGTGTGTGTCTTGCTGCTGCATGTTCCCCACGCTGTGGTCGATCAAGACCCACCTCCGGAACAGCTCTCAGGAGGGCTACAGCTGTAAGGTGTACTACCGCAGGCTCAAGGCCCTGTGGGAGAAGGAGCGCATGCTGCAGGAGGCTGCAGCCCCCGGGGTGTCTATGTAGCCCCGCCACGCGGGAGGGCACTGCTCCTTCGCTCCTGTCAGTGGCAGAATAAACCGTTTCAGGAGCAGCCAGCCCTGTCAGCCCGCTGCTCTTGACTACGTAATCCTTTAAGAGAGACTTCCCGACTTTTTCTTCACCAGCAGCCAAAAAATCTCCCAAGCCCCTGAAAGCACTGCTTAGCATCTCTGCATGGAACTCCGCAGATGCTGGGAACCCCCTGACATCCTCAAGCTGTTAGATCAGCCCTTGGATGAGCCTAAAGGGGAAGACTGAAACCCCTCTACTCCCAGCAGTGTTCGGGGCACCTCACTCTCACCAGCACCTTGTGGCTGGCACCACAAGCAAGAGTCCCACGTGCAAGGCCAAGGGATGCCACTGCTGGTGATGGCGCCCAGCATGGAGGGGGAGAGAAGTACAGAAAGAGAGAGAGAGTCAGTGAGAAGGAAGAGACAACAGGAAGCCTTGAGAAATAGAAAGATTTATTTAGCAAAAGCCAGTTGAATAATGACAACACCCAAAGGTTAAGTGCACTTACATTGCAGATTGGTCTCCCAGATAGATTGAGTCAACAGTTAGTAACACGACAGTTGTAGGAAAAGAAAGGACAAAAAATATAGCTTTAAATCCCCAGTTAAGGTCCATAGCAAAAGTGAGAGGCTAGAGAGCCATCCTGGAGGCAGCGCTGACTTAGGAAGAGGATCATTTACACATGTACACCAGTGGTGTGGCAGGATGCTGGCAGGATCCCACCCAGCTCTGGCAGTATTCGTCAGCCCATGGGGCACCCACCGCCTTCTCCTGTGGGCAGAGTGCCGGGCAGGAGCCTGAGCCCTCAGCTGGTCCCAACACTCTGCATATGTGTGCAGCAGGGATGGGCAGGAGCAGTGGCTCAGGGCAAGGCTCAGCCCTGCCTGTTTTCTACGGCAGCCCAGCCTAGAAAAGACCCCTCACCTGCTGCTGCTCCTCCTGGGCTCTCCTTTCATCTGCCCTGTGTGTGTGGCCCAGTTTCTGCTCTCCCCCTCCCACATGATCTGCCTGCCCACATGGAAAACCCTCTCTGAGCTCACCCATGTATCCCACCCTACCTGTGCCATATCCTGTGCCTGCTGCCATCCCCACCTCTTCCTCCTGGTGGGACCAGCTTCCCACCCCATGCTTTCACCTCCAGCTGCTGTGAGCTGGCAGTGGGATGTCAGGGTCCCCAGCAGAGGGGTTTGCACACAGCTGTGCCCACAGCAGTGTCCCAAACCACACCCCTGTCCCAAACAGCACCTGCTCCTACTCTGCCACTGTGTCTGGTGCAGAGGCTGCCTTGGACACCTGGCCACTGAGGGGACACCAAAACATCTTCCTTCCCATTAGGACTCTCTAGCTCCTCAGAGCATCCAGCCTCCTCCTGTGACGGAAGCTGCATAGTACAGCTTCTACTGACCCTGGGAGTCTCACCCACACCTCATTCCTCATTAGCCCTCAGTCCCAAGGGGATTGGGGCTGCATAGTACAGCTTCTACTGACCCTGGGAGTCTCACCCACAACCTCATTCTTCATTAGCCCTCAGTCCCAAGGGGATAGGGGCAGAAAGAAGTGATGGACCTTCTATAGCAGCCAGGAGGAGAGCAAAAGCTTGCGTCTGGGAGATCCTCAACTAGGGGTTAGTTGCAGGCAGATCTAGCAGAGACAGAGCTGGTGAAGGCAAAAGCAGCAGAGAAGCAACAAAGTGAAGCAGAAGCGGGACAGAAGGGTGGGTGGGGAGGAAGACAACTGTGCCAATCCCCACCTCATCAAGTGTTTCCACAAGGAGCAGGGGTATGAAGTCCGGTTCATATCCCTTTGGCTGCAGCCTCTTTTGGAGGCTGCAGCAACAGACAGCTGATAAATGTGCTTGCAGAAAAGAAACACGCTCTGGGTCCCTTGGAGGCCCCCAGGATGGCTCTCAGCCATGGGTGTCTTGGTATCTGGTGGGGGATCCTGAGATCTTGGATTCACTTTTCCAGAGGGTGCAAACCAGATGTGAAGAAGCCCCCTTGCAGACATCAGCAGTTCACACCCCATTGAGGGATGGCAAGTGTGCCCACCCCTGCACACGGACGATGCCAGCACTGCATCCCCCATCCCTGGACCAGGGGCACATGACTGCTTGGAAATGGGAGGGTTTGTCTATAAAGCAAAGCTGGGAGTTTGTGGTGAAGGCGGTGCAGGGAAGTGCTTGAAAATGTGACTTGAGAGCACCAGAAAGGCTTTGAAACCTGGCAGCCACACTCAGGAGCCCAAGGACCAGACGATGAGGGGAAGGGCACTGCACAGCCCCACGCTGCATGCCCTGGCTCCCTGCTCCACACTAAGCTGTGCCTTCCTACCCGCTCCACAGACTGAGAGGAGTGGGCATTGCCTGCAGGCCCTCCACCTGCCTCAGGTAGGGACAAACCCTGTCCTGGAAGCACAACAAACACCATCACCTGCCAGGAGCTGCCTGTGCATGGCCACCCTGTGCAGCCTCATCTCATGCCTTCAGCTTCTTTGCAGGCTTGTCCCCACTGTCACCCGCTGCCTCACTTCTCACTTGCTCACCTCTGCTGACAGTGCACTGTTACCAACCCTAACCACCCTGCTAGCATATCCCTGGCCTCATCTCCCACCTTCTCCACCATGCAGAGAGTGAGACCACCTGCCAGTGGCTCTGTCCCTGCTCACTGCCCTCATGTTGCCTCCTTGGTCCCTCTTGTCCCCACTCACTGCTCCATGCCTGCTCTCTCATTCCCCCAGCAAAACCTTCATCTACTTTCCTGCTTTCCCACCAGCAGCAGTGGCTAACCCGGCAACAAATCCCTTGCTTCTGCCTGACCTCGAAATGCAGCCTGGGAGGGGACGGGGACCACGGGGAGCCCAAGCAGCTCAGCTTGCTGTCTGATGTGAAGTGGGGATGCTCCAGCTCAGCACACAAGCCCTTGCATGCTGGAGCACAGCATGCCTGGTGCACCACCTCAGCATGGCTCCATCCTCTCCTCCACACACCTCCTGGCTGTGTGCTGAAGCCTCGCACTCCCTCCTCTGCCCCTCTCCCTCCGGGATGTCCCACTCCTGCCAGGACCAGGGGGCTACGGCCAGGGTCCACCCCAGCTCCGGCAGGTCCGCACCACCTCCTGCCGACCCCTACACCGCAATCTCATCCTCCAGGCTGTCACCCAGGTCCTGCCTGGTCTGGACGTGGAGCAGGCGCGGCGGTTCCTCCTGGGACCAGAACGCTCCTCACTCGCGTCCGTGTTGGACTCGTACTCAGAGGCAATGCCCGACTCGCGGAACTTGATGAGCTCCAGGCTGCCCAGCGCTGGCTCTGGGGCAGGTGGCCCTGAGTCAGGCAGGAAGCGATAGCACTCCAGCTTCACCAGACAGTCGTTCCTACCTATGGGGCTGCCCAGGGTGCTGGGGAAGCCTGAGCCAGAGCCCAGTGGCGGCGGGTGGGTGTCCTCGGGCTGCGGGGTGGTCGGGTCGCAGAGGACAGGGAGGACGTTTGAGCGGAAGGTGATCTCCAGCAGGCTGTCCTGGGAGCCCGCTGCAAGAGAAGAGCATGACTGAGAGGCAGGCAGTGCCACCCCAGTTCGCCTGGGAACCCCCCAGCCACCACAGCTGGCTGAAGACTGGCCAGAGGAGGATGGTCTGGGCTGTTTGGGTATCAACTTCCCCCCCCCCACCATTTAGAGGGGCTTATTTGGTGAAACTGGTGCCAGGAGCTGCTGCTGGTCAACAAAGAGCCAGTTTTGCAGGATAAGAAGTTACGTCTCCTATCCAAGCTTCTGCAGGGAGCTGATGGCCACATCTGCTGGAGAAGAAGGTCGAGGGGCTCTTGGGCAGGTAAGGAGTTGGCCTAGAGCATGCAGCCACTGGGGAAAGCAGACATACAGCTGATGGACGTATGTGACTACCTGTCCATACAGCCCTCTCCAAGCCATTCACACACTGCTTGCAAACACCCTGCCACACGCAAACAAGCCAGGCCAGAAGAGCACTTACATTCCCCTACACACCCACTGGTAAAGCACAAGAGCCCCAGAAGAAATGCCCACATGCATGTCCTCCACAGACCCAGATAGCTGTGAGGGGAAAGGAAGGGGCAGGAGCGCTTACTGGTTGTGTTCCCCGCTAGCTTCAGCTCCAGCTCCTGCACCTGTTTGACCAGGAGCGAGATGTGCTGCAGCAAGTCCTTGTTCTGGAGCAGGAGCTGGTGCACGCGAGCCTGGGCTTCCAGCCGCGCCGCTGCCTCTGCGGCCAGCTGGTCCTTCAGCAAGTGGACCTGTGTGACAGGAGAGAGCACTTAAGCATGTGGGTGATGCTGCTTAAAGGCTCAGAACGTCAACTCCGGCCAGCCCTGCTCGTCTACCAGGGCTCACCAGCATTGCACAGAATGATCTGATGAAAAAGCCATTCCCCGTGGGTACCCACAGGTGTGATGCGGAGTGGGGCAGGCAGCAGTGTCACACCAGAGCACACACAGCAAATCCAGTGTGTGGTCTCCTGGCTTCTCTCATGGAAAAGCCTGAGGCAAAGGGAGGTAGCACTAACCAAACCATTGGTCACACACGTGTGCCACGAATGCACAAGGAAAGGGCAGCCCAGGAGGGAGCCAGATGGATTGAGAAGAACAAACATGCTTGAAAAATTAGATAGTTCTGCCCGTGCATGATGGTGCAGCCATGCACCATGGGCAGCCCTATCTGAGCTGTCTTTCCAGGCAAATTTCCCAGAGACAGGGTCCTGCCAGTGGCGTCTGTCACTAGCAGGGGCTGGAGCATCAGAGCTGCCCTGGAGCTGCAGGTGGCTCTGGCTGTGACAGGCATGACATGCCTGGAGCAACACAGATGGCAGAGTGCTGCTGAGACACAGTGGCTCCAGGAATATGAGCTGGCTGCTCATTTTTGCCCTGGAAGCAATGCCTGGATGGTAGCCTGCAGGGAGTCCATGGGCAAGAAGCCCACTGATCTCAGCATAACTACCCACATGCAAGCAATCTATATCACCAGCACCATGTCCCAGGGAGGGTGGGATGCTGCTAGGTGAGACCAGCCAGGAGTCTTTGCCCAGGGGCAGCTCTTTGACCTGAGCTAGTGCAAGGAGAGCCCTGGGATCATACTCTGGACAACGGAACAGCAGTGCAGAGCCGCAGCAGCTCAGTACCCCCTCCTGCCACCCACCCGTGGCTCCTACAAGTGCTCTTCTCTCCAGCAAGGACTGAACCAGCCAAAACTCGTGGGGAACCAGGAAAGCATGGATTTAAAAACAAGCAAACAAAAAAGCAAAACACAACAAAATACACCTCCAAACAAAAGAGACAGTTTTACCTTGGCCTAGAGAGTGACCTTGGGGAAGAAGTGGGGGGCTCTCTTTAGCCTGTCAAAGCTGTGAGCTGCAGCTGCAGGGCCCCAAAAGCAGCACAGCTGGAGGCCACCTGCCCTCCTGGATGGGTACCAGAAGGCAGCGCCGGGTCTGATTGCAGGCCAATTCTGCCTGCTTTGCCGAAACACAGCCCGCAAGGTGGCAGGGCAGTGCCCCTGGCAGAGCAGAGTTGAAGCACAGTGAGCTAAGAGGGTGGCAAGAGGTGAAGCAAGGTGCTGGGACCTGCAACTGTCCATGAAGCCAGACCAAGGGCAAGGGGGTGCAATAGTTTATACACTGAGCAGGGAGTTTTGGTTTGCCTGTGGGCCTCTAGCCAGATGAGACACCCCACACTACTGTTACCCTTCCTCCTCTTCCTGCCAGTGGTGGGACAGTGGGGTACAGCAGTGCAGTGGGACATGGACCCTCTGCCAAATGCTGGTGGGTGAAGCAGAGACCCTGAGTAAAGCTGGGATCATGTTTAAATGCTAAGCGAGTGCCAAAGCTCGGTCCTGGCAGTGTCAGCCCAGAAGTCATCTTTCCTCACAGCCGGCAGCTGTCTCTATCTGCAGCAGGGGCCAGGTGATGCTCAGTTGATGCCAGGGGAAGATGCCAGCAGAACCCAAATGCCACGTCCTGCAGAGGGGCAGTGGCTCATGCCACCTTCCCCCTGGGGACAAGACCCAGGAAGGACTCCCTGCCTTAATTCAAGAGAAGGAACTTTCACAGGTGTCTGTACACACCTTGCAAAAGTAAGTCTGTAGTCAATGAAGGAACAAAATGGCATTTCATCGTTAGCCAAGTAATTAGAGGCTGAGACAATTACAGAACGGTCTTTGTAGGACTAACCATAGATCCTGGTCAACACAGTGGATCTCCTGGCTTTGTTAGTAAAGAATTAAGCCTATGCCCTTCTCCATGTGTTTAGAGACAAATTGCGTCTGTACTTTTTGAGAGAAGATAACAAGTGCCATTAACAGAGCTGTTGATGTAACACATGCAGTCATCTGAAAGGCAGTTGACATAATAAGTCCCAGTGTTTTCATTAATAAATTACAATGATACAAAATCACCATGGTGCATGCACTGAAGGGATTAGAGAGCAGCTAAGTGACAGCTCCTGGGACAAGAACCACCCTATGGTGGGCAGAGGTCCAGAGCAGGATGCCAGCCCTTGGAGAGAGGGGGATGAGGCCACTGGCTGCCATCCCAGGAGTCAGCCAAGAAATGGCATTACACTATTTCAGATTTTTTTTGTGTGTAAGTAGGAAGAAAAAGAAATGACCGCTGCCAAGGCTGTGCAGGTAGACGGACTGGGAACTGCTGAAGGTGATCAGTCCCTGCCACAGAGGGACCGGGCTTTGCCTGTAACAACATTATACTTGGATAGACATAGAGGATGCAGGTCCCCCTTTCAGAGGGGAAAGCAACTTCCCGAGCCTGTGACCCCAGCTCTCAGGGCAGCAGCTCAGTCAGAAGAACCAATACTGATTTTCTGATGTGAGAAGAGGAAAGCATGGGACAGCATAGAAAGGCTGCGGGAGCCGATTGCTCAGGACAGGAAGAAAGTCAAGCAATTCCAGAGAGCTCTGTGAGGGGTCAGGGAACAAGTAAAGCTAAGGTAACGAGTTCGATAAAGCAACCAGAGCTGCTTAAATGTGAAATGCCTGCATAGAGAACAAGCTGCCAGCTGCAAAGCCCAGGCAGCAGTTGGCCAGGGCTAATGCTGAGGCCAGGCATTGGCAAACAGACAGGGGCCAAAGGACTAAGAAAACTGGTGGCATGCAGACCTAAGCACCTCATCTGCTGCGACAGGGCTGTGGCAAATTGCCACTCCTCTCCCCCTGTTGCACAGCCCAGGAGCTGGTCCCTCACCAATACCTGTGCACCAGCTTCTCCCACAACCACCACCTGGGCTTCTCTGCCTGGAGGCAGCCTCCCCTCCCCATGGAGCTGCCTGTCTCCAATGCTGCCTTCAGGCAGGGGATACTCTGGCAGCAAGGCAGGGCTCGGAAGCATGCCCCAGCCCCGCCGCTGCCCCCCGGAAAGAGGGGGGGGGGGAAAAAAACGGCTGCGGCGGCAGAAGCTGCTGGAGGAGCTGCATCTGGTGGTGGGCAGAGAGGGGTGTTCCCAGGTCGGGCAGCTGGGCAGACGAGGGCAGCAGCATCTTGGGCGATGCTGTCAGGATATCTTCAGGGAGGAGGCAACTCTGCAAAACACCAACATTCAAAGTATGATCCCATGGCCCTTGCCACAGAGATCATCCAGGCACCCCTCAAAATGTAGCCCCTCAAAATAACCAGGAAAGAAGCTGCTGCATTCGAAGCAAATGCACATTTTGCTGGGGGGTGCTGAAAAACTATGAAAATGGTATTTTTTTCAGTTTTGACAACAGCCCAAATACTTTTGTAGAAAATTCCCAAAAAGGCTGACTCTTCTCAAGGGAATTTCCACTATATCAAAAAAGTTTGTTTTTGTTTTTTTTTCATTTGGTCGAAAAAAATCCCTATCAGCTCTGCCCCGGACACTTTCCGTGTGGCCGCACATAGCTGAGTCTCAGCACAGCGCTCTCCGGGAGTGCCCCAGGCCCAAAGCCAAAGGGCAGCCCTGTGGCAGCAGACAGCTTTGATCTGGCAGCAGTGGAATGCTGCAGAATCCCTCCTGATCCCTGGGCCCCTGGGATGCACATCAGAGAAATAGTGCCGGGACCGCGCCATGCCCTGAGAGTGGAGGGCAAGGACCCACTCACCTTGGCGTCAGCATAGGCACTCGCCTCCTTGCCCACAGCATCGAGGTCGGTTACACCGCGGCTAAAGTCAAGGATGTCAGCTCCAGGCAGTGGGAGCTCCACGGCGTCAATGTCCGTCTCCTCTGCGGAGGCAGCTGCCCGCTCCACGCCGGTGAGGCGACAGGCTGTGGGAGCAGCATCAGAGCAAAGCACAGCCCACTTGGAGTAAGAGCATGCTATGGTGCACCCATGGTATGGTGAGTGATGCCCACTGGTTGGTCCCCAGTGCCCCCAGCCACCCACCTTCCAGGTCTGGGGGAAGCAGGTACAGAACAACACAGCTGTGCTTCCTGGATGGAGCTTACAGCCAAAACCACACCCAGCCCCAGCACACCAAACCTGGGGAACAGCAGCCAAAACCCCTGATGTGGGACAAATGGGTCATCAAGAGCAGAAGACACATAGAAAGCTGAAGAAAGGTAAACAAGAGATTACGAGGGGAAAAAACCCAATGAAAACAAAAACAGATGCTCAGAAATCTCCAGGGAACTGCATATCATGGCCTGGACATTGTGTGGAGGAAAATCAAACAATGACCTGTCCAGGACAGCCCAACGCTTAGGTCATCACGACAGTGCTGGCTGCAGAGGAAAGCAGGAAACCACAGCACAGCCCAGCCTACTCCTGTCTGGATCAGAGGAATTAGCACCCAGCATAGGGTGGCAGGGCAGGGCAGGCAACCCACACCCAGATAGCAGGGCCACCAGCATCTCAACGGGCAATGGAGGTGTTTGACCAACCTCTTGCAAAACATCTGCCTCCCCTCCAGCAGTCACTGGCACCAAGGAGCACGGCAGCTCTCCAGGGCCCCACAGAGCCCTCTGCCCATGGGGCTGAGAATGGAGAGGGGTTCCTCGGAAGCCCCAGGAGCTTGATGCAAGAACCCAAGCATAGCTACATACATGCAGGGAGTTGCAGAGAGCTGGACCTGGCCTCATGAGCACCTCAGGATGCGGGCAAAGTCTGTGCTTAGTGCCTCTTCTGTGGAAGCAGCAAGGAAATGTTTGCAACGTGTGCAGCTGAGCATGGAGAATATTTAGGCACCCCGCAGAGACCCAGGTGCTGCTAATGGGCTCCCAGCAAGGGTGATGTCTGTGAGAACGACAGCTAACACCTAGCGAAGGCTTCTTGCTGGGCAGGATCCCAGCTTGCGCCCAGAGCACCACAGGCCAGATTGCTGTGCAAATCCATTCCCTGGAGGCGTCAGACAGCAAGGAGCCATATGGGAAGACAGTAACTCTGCAGACCACATCTGCCAGGCTCCAGAACCCTCACACCACACCTGCCTCCATCCTTGCAGAGTACCTGGGACATCCAGGTCATCCCCGTTCCTCTCGCTGTCTCCGTCCTCCTGCCCATCTGCATTTTGCTGGGTGTGCTGCAGGCTCAGCTTGTGGCAGACCTCAAATGCCTGTCCCACTGTCCGGACAATGCGCATAGCTTGGCTCTGCAGGAGGAGAGGAGAGGAGGAACTGAACCTCAGCTGGGCTGCCCCAGCCCAGTGACCTCCCCAGCGTGGCACAGCTCTCGGGGGTCTCTGTGTGCTGCCACACGGACTGAGGCACCAGAGCCCAGATCACCAGGGTGCTCTGGGCTGCCACCTGCAGCACAGTGACAGGGTCCTGCTCCAGTTGCCCCACCAAGACCCTGCAATGGCAGGATGCCCACTGCAGCATCTCTACCTTCTTCTTGGATTTGAAGACATTGCACCTGAAGACATTGCTAGACCCATCCCTGGCAATGTAGCTGAAGATCTTTAGGTCCTGGGAGTCATGAGACACATAGAATATCCTACAAGGACAGTAAGGAAAGGAAAACATCAACATACATTGTACCCACATGCCCAGGAGACTGCCAAGGCCACAGCCAGCGCTTTGCAGGGCACAGGGTGCTGGCAGATGCCCAGCCTCTGCAGCACATCCCTGCAAAATCCCATCAGAAACATTTTTGGCAGTGGTTTTGCCTCAACTGGGAAAATTAGCCTGCTGACACAGCAGCAGCAAGCATTTTGCAAAGGCAGCACGGGCTTTCTTTGCTCAGTCCCCAGGGACAGAGCCAACAGCCCAGGAGCCCTCCAAGGACCAAGGAGAGCAAACCTCACTCCTCCACCTTGCTGCTTGGAAAGCTATCCTTGGTGGGCATGGTGGCAGCTCTCCATGGTCAGTCCCCAGCACAGTGCTGGTGTGGGGTAGGTACCATGGCAGAGCCATGCAAGCCTCCATCCCCTCACCATGCAGACTTACCTGTAGATGGGATCGTGCATGACAAGCATTTTGTTCTCGTCCCAGGCCCATTCTTTTTTCTGCAATGAAAGAAGCTGAAAATGAGTACGTCAGATGCTGCCCTTGAGATCAACGACAGGGCAAAACCAGGCCAGGGACAGACCAGGAAACTCTTGTCACAGCTTTGCTGATGCTCCTCTGCAACACTTTGCCAAGGGTTGGGTCCTCCTGAGAACCAGCAATGTCCCACCTCACTTCCCATGGGGCCCCTGAGCACTTGTACACGTGCATCAAGACTGGCTCAGGCACACTGTGGGAACATGGCTCATCTGGGGCTAATCCCAGCCCAGCCCTCCCTCTCCCAGCCCAACAGAGTTTCACAGATATTCAAGGATGCTGCAGGTCCCTGCACCACAAGGGCAGGGCTCTTGCTGCTGAGGCACCACTGCGCCAAGGACCAGGGCTGCCTACCTTCTTCTTCTTCTTCAGAATGACCTTCACACCATCCACTGACACAATGAGATTCACTTTCTTCTTCTTTATATTCTTGGCTTTAAATTCATACTGCAAGGGATGAAAGAAAATGCCTGAATTAGCCTTCTTGCATCAGGAGAGCCCCAGGAAGGGCTGAGAAGGCTTTGATACGAAGGGGCAAGAGAGACAGGGAAAGGTTTGCTTCCCTGAGCACATGCCTGCACCAGCCTGCCCACCCATGCTAGGATAGGACAGGAGGCCGTTCTGCCCTGCAGTGTCCCTTTACCCAGCACACACAGGAGCACACCCTGAAGCAATGTGGCCTCTGGATGTGGATAATGCTTTGCTCAGCCCAGGTTGCTGCTGGAAGTGTTAACTGTTCCTCTGCCCCTCCAAAGGGCCATACCTCCCCTGAAAGGGACTGCCACCTTCCCAGCCTGCCAGCCCTCAGGGCTCTACAGCCTGGCCAGTTTTGCCCCACTGGCTGTGACCATTGCTGAGTGCTCATAAGGGAAATGGCATTTCTACTGGGCTTTTTTCTTGGGCTCAGTATAAAAGTGAAGGTGATTGCTGAGAAGTCTGTGAACTGCTCCAGGGGAGAGGGGATAATGCAATTACCCACTTCAATTAGAAGTCACTGGACAGGAAAAAAACCAACAGGAACTTCCAAAGATCAGTGACTAAACACAAAGCTCTGGTCCAGCCTGGGGAGAGAATTGAGATGCCTCAAAATCCAGCCACTTTTGCGTTTAGTCTTACAAGCAGGGAGTGGGCTGGCAGGGGAATAGGCTAGGTGAGCCATTTAGGCTGAGCAGCCTCCTGATGCAGGACTTTTAGGGGCAGAACTAGTCTACCATGGCTGCACCCACATCAGGTACCTGCTGTGGTGGTCCCACAGGCAGGGTGCTCTGCACAGCCATGGGAACAGATCCTCTGTGCTCCCCCAGTGGCAGAAAAGCCAAGCATCCTGCACCTTGCACATCCGAGAAGAGGAATTCAGTTTATCCTCTCATTATTTTGCCAGTCTCTCTGCAGAGGGCGCACAGGACAGGTGCCCCAGTGCAAAGCTTTGCCTCCAGTCCACACCGAGCTTTGAGCCGTGGTGTGACATTTCCAGCACTGCATGATGTATTCACTTTGGCAGCCAGAGCCATCAGGCAGGAAAAGCTGCTGGCCCTGACCGGTGATTGAATGATAAAGGACCTGAAAATGCAATGCCTTAAAGCCATTTTAAAGCCACCGATGGGGATGGGAGACACAGATGACCCGGGTAACAGTGGGAGGAGTGCAGCTCTGCCCTCCCCAGTGCATGGACCAGGCAAGCTGTGCAAGCCCACTCGCACTGGGGCTGAAGCCATGGTGATGGGCTAGAGAAAGCAGAGCTCAGGCTCCCACCATGGCTACAGCCAGCCTCCAAATCCCCAGCACATACCCGTATGCTGCTTGGAGGGCTTAGTCCTCATGGACAAGACTCTCACCAGAGTCCCTCATCAAAGAGCCCATGAGGGTGGGTTTCCAAGCCCCATCTGTTACATTTCCCCTCCCTCATTACACGAAGAAGTGAAACTGCACCTAACAGCCTATCTAAGCCTTGCTAAGACCAGTACTGAGATCACAGCAATGTGTCTGGTACCTAACACTAAAGAAATGTCTTGATTTAGGCTTGAAAAGGTGAGCTCCAGCCCAGGTACCTTATAGTAATTAACCCAGCACCTTCTGGAGCTCTGCATGTGATTTTTCCAAGAGCCATGGGCCGAGATGGATGCTCTCCACAGCACCCAGAGTGACTGCATGGCATCTTACAGCCCGATTTATTGGACCTAATGATCATTGATTATAAACATCAAGTTACATTTCTGTGCTGCTAGAGCTGTGGGGTTTCTATTCTGGGTCATGCCAAGTGCTAACTAATGTGGGCTTGGAAGAGACAGCAATACTGAAAAATATCTCAGGGTTAGAGAGACTATTTTTAGCCTGGTTTTGGGCAAGTAACAGCCCTAGGACAGCAATGCAGACAGGCCAGGATGTTTCAGCAAAGATGCTACCCAGCCCTGGCATATGTTTCAGGAACAGAATCGATGCAGAGCTCCTCAGAGGTGCTTCCATAACCCCTGACTACAGGCAGAGGATTCTGCCCAGGCTTGCCCTGGCAGAGGGCAGTGCCACAGGGAAAGCTCTGCCATGCTGAAGCAAAATTCCCCTTGTGCTGATGGCTTTGGGCAAAATTCCAGCAAGAACAAACATAAGCAAAGAAGTCAAACTCTCAGAAGGGCCGACCAGCCAGATTTGTTAAGCCCTTGCATAAATCCAGGCTTTATCTCGACACCAAGGTGAGAGCCAAGCTACTTTGCAAGTCCAAGCCATGTGCTCAAAAAGCTAGTGCACACCCTGCCCCATCCTGCTCTTGTTAGTACAATCACTCCGATGAGTCCAGATGCTCTCTGGGATACATTTCCCATGCAATGAAGCACAGCTCTAGCCAATAAAACACTAATGAACTCATGCCCAGTGGGACTCTAATGAAATGCTAGCCATAATTTAGTAACAAATTAGCAAGGAAGAGGATTCAATAAAACAGCAATTCAGATGAGTGGCCTGCACGGGTCAGGCACGCTGAGTCCACGGGCCAGGAGATGCACTGCTTTCAGATTTGAGTTTGGGTGAATAGGTGCAAGCAGGAAGGAAAAGCTCGCAGGAGAGAGGGGCAGCAAACCAAATTGAGAGGGAGCATGTACCCTTCTGAAAAGCCTGGCACACCATTTGTGCACAGCTACCCTCCCTGCTTACAGACACTGCAATTTGCTCTGCCTTGTTCACAAGGCTAATTTAGCAAACCAGAGGGATTTCACCTAAAGCAGTACCTCTGGCTAGGGACAAAGGGAGCATTAGGTTCACACAGTTCCTCTAAGTGAGATTTGTGCCACAGAGACTGTAAGGGATACACCCCAAACTGTGAAGAGCAGAATGTGTGCTCAGACCTGACGGCTTATGGTGCAGCCAGGAGAAAGGCACATCTTACCACAAGCCCTTGCACACCCCAGCAAGCCCCTGCAGCTCCCAGGAAGGCAGCAGCTGATGGTGGCAGGAAAGAAAGAGAATTTGTGCAATTTTCCCATGATCCCCTTTGGTTTCACACCACAAGCATTTCACATTTCACTGTATTACTTATAACTAACTAACTGGTATAATGGTCAGAAGAGCTTTCTTGGCTGTCAGCTCTGGTAGTTTGCCCATCATGGGCATGATTCTCTATTTTTAAATACCTGTAGTAATACTATAGGTTTGGGTTAATTATATTAATTCCTATAGCAATGTGGCAATCCCAGAAGATAGATAAGAAATAACTCCAGGGAAATACACCGAAAATGGAACGAGCAAAAAAGAAACTCAACTGTTCCTGGACTGGCACAGCTCCACAACTGGCCTCCAACTAAAGCTCTAAGCATTCTACTAAAATTTGTAAGCAAAGATTGGAAATGGACATCTGAGATGTGCCAAAGTTAAAAAAAAAAAAAAAAAACAAGAAGAAAAGTAGAGATGGTCTCACTAGTGAAAAAGTATTAGACCACTCAAACTCCAACCAGCTGAGAAGTGAATAAAGATTATCCCTTAATTTTATACTGCCCACAATAAAAATATTCATCTGGATTAGAAAAGAAACATCTATCTCAGCAGGGCAGGAGAGTCTTGCCATTGACCTCAGGTTGTGGGAGTCTCTTTTCAACAGCTGTCTTTTACGTAGAGTTCACCATTTAAATAACTTTAGATGGAAAATAATGCCAGCTGGTGTATGCATCATTACACAACACATTCCTACTGTCAGAGTATTAAAATTGCCCTTTCTGAAGAACAGAGTAACATATGTTGCTTAATAGAGAGTGCATGTAACCTTGTCAGCTTAGAATAAAATTATGTCTGAATCTGAATGCGATGGGTATGTGTGAAAAGCATGGAAAACTCAGCCCTTAGAAACACGTTACCCATCCCTGTCATACTGTTTCTACACAGTAAAAGTGTAAGAAAACTTGTAACCACTCACTGCAGGGTAGGTTGGGCAGATCAGACACTAAAGAGGAGAGATGATGTCTTTCTAGATTCATCATGCCCCCACATAAAAGCATCTGAAAAAAGGTTAACCTGAATAGCAGTGTCCTCATTTCATTCCAGTCCATCTGAACTGCAGCAGTTAGAGATTTAAGTCTGCCCAGTAGCACTCTCCACCAGTAAGGGAAGTTACCAGGAATCCTGTGTGTCAGATTGTGCTAGCAGAATATAAATAAACAGAAAATTCTTTAATGAAAGTTCCCCTAAATGCACTGAGCTGTCCCTGCCCCCTTCTAGCCCTTATCCCCCTACTCCAAAATAAAAAAGAAAGGTCACAAGCTTGTACTGAGGATACTGGAGAAAGAGCAGTGGTTTGAGAATTCAGTTAATAGGGAAAAAGCAATTTCCACAAAACGCATTGCTGCTCTGCTAGGCTGGGAGCCAGGAGACAAAAATCTTTTATATGAAAAAGCACAGAAAGGGTGTATTTCTTTTGCCAGAAAACTGTATTTCTTTGTGTTTATGCAAAAGGACATGAAACTCTGAGCAATGCCAGATCCCACAGAGCCAGCACTGCTGAATGCAAAGGGCTGGCTGGCAAAGCCCCTGCAGTGTGAGCAGCCTGCGGTGATGCCCCTGCAGCTCTCTGTCCCTTGGCACCTCATCACGCAATGAAAGCACAAGTGCGGGGCTGGCGCAGGCCCTGCAGGGGAGCAGGGCAGGGTGCTGGAAGCCAGTGTCCCACTGCCTTGGCACCCTGTGGCGGCTCCTCCACGCAGCTGGCTGGCACAGCAGCTAATGAAATACCTTTCAGAGTTAGACTTTAACCCAAGGTCAGCTCAGGCTAATGAAAGACGGGGCAGACTAGCGAAGGCTTTCCCAGCACACTGGGGGGAGGAGCAGTACTGTTCTCTTGATGAAGAATTAACTTATTGCAAAGTGACAGCTGAGCTAGAGTTCAATTGGCACAGACTCCATGGCTCCAAGAATTAACGACTGGAAGGGAAACCACATACCTCCTCGCAATTTCTGCTGCTGAGAACACA